CGGACAAATGAGGAGTAGTTCTGAGTTCTGTCGAGCAGATGGGAGGCCGGATGACTTGGCATAATCACTGACCGCGTCGGCTGCCGTTTGCAGTCGCTCCTCGATTTCCCCAAAGGATCCCGTGCCGGACCAGATCGTAATGTCATCGGCATGTATGCCATGGTGTACGCCGGGAATGGAGTCCAAGAGGGCAGAAAGACCGATGAGCGCAATGGTGAATATCAAAGATGAGAGTACGGCCCCTTGAGGGGTACTTTAGCTGTCAAGCAGGACTGGGTCTGTGGCGAGGTCTCCCACCTTCGGTATCGCTCTGCGCCCGGAGAGAAGATCCTTAATGTACTGGTAGGTTCTATGACCGCAGTCGAGGGTATTAAGGTGGTAGAGGATGGCAGTGTGTTTAGCATTGAGGAATGCCCCTTGAGGTTTGGAGCAAGAATGGCTGTGGGTGAGTTGCGCGTAGCAGGCAGCATTACCTCTTCCTTTAGCTGGAGTAGAACGTCTTATGCCGACAAATACGAGCGGAAGTCAAGCATTCTCACTGGGAGCTTATTGTGATCTTCAAGATATGCTTGCAGTCTGTTTGAGACAATATGTTCCAACAGTTTTCCTGCACACAACGTAAGGAAAATGGGTCGAAGGTTCTCAGTGCTGGGTGGTTCGTTCGGCTTCGGTATCAGTTTAACTTCCGCAGTTTTCCATTCCTCAGGGAGGATTCCCGTCTGCTAGATGTCATTTAGATGAACAGTCAGTTTTAGAAGGGACGGGTTGTCCAGGTTGGCCAAGGCCTTGATAGTAACTTGGTCTAATGCGGGCGATGTCTTGCGGCGAATCTTAGCAAGAGCATCCGTAACTTCATGCAGATGGATGTCCTCGTCTAGGAGCGGATTCGGGCGTCACGAATATGGGGAAGGGGTTCCGTGGGATGAGTAGGGAGGTAACGGCCCTTGAGAGTCGCGAGGAGATGGCGTGTGTCTCCTGGGTGTTGATGGATGACTTTGTTCATAGTGTGTTGGGATGTCGTTTTGCTCTTGGCCGGGTCAATAAGATAGCGGAGCAGCTTCCAGGTTTTGGAGGTACTAAGGGTGTCGCACATTCCGTCACAGAGGGCGAGCCAGTCTATCTTGCACAATGCCGAGGCGTACTGTGCCGCGTCTTAAGTGAGCCGCTCAATATGTTTTTTGAGCTTGCGGTTGAGCTTCTGTTTCCGCCAGCGTTTAATTAGACTTCGGCGAGCCTCCCATAGGTGTAGAAGCCTAGTGTCCACACATGGGGTGGAGGTGGACGTTTGGATATTTTAGTGTGGTAGTGAACATCTTGAACAAGACGAGGTACCAACTCTTGCAGAGCTAGCGGGGAGTGATCGGTCGTTTTCAGTCTCTTTTCTCGTTCATCTCGGAGTTAGGTCCAGTCGATGAGGCGTTCCTTGCCGAGTTTGATGTGGTACTCTGCGCCGTATATAGTAGTGACTAGAATGGCATGGTCACCCAGATATTTTCCAAGCTGCTCCCAGTCCGCGTGAGGGATGTGGCTAGTGATAGTTAAGTCTGGCGAGGTGTCATTGGTGACGCCTCGCCAGGCTTATGCGGGTGCGGGAGGCAGGGTTAGTCAGGACGGTAAGGTCTTTGTTTGCGATGAGCGCATGCAAGGCATTACCGTGTTTATTGCAGTACGCATAGCAACAGAGCTGATGGGCCGCGTTGAAATCTCTCATTATGAGGAGAGGCTGACTCTCCGCTTTGTGAAGTGCCTGCAGGAGTACGTGTTGGATACTGGGGTCTTTACCATTTGGGTTTGCTGTACATATTTAAGATGAAAAGACTGTGGGCTTGTTTCTGGGCACGCGGGATGAGCTCGAGCAGGATTCCCAGCAGTTGTGTTTGTTGAAGAGCGTGTTGAATAGCAGTAATTTGTTTGCAAACCAGAGTATGAAGGTTTTTTCCTGTGTCTTCTCGATACATCACGTAACCGGGAAGGCGAGTGGGAGAATTGGTCTCCTGGAGTGATATGACATCCGGAGGAGAGGTATATGAGGCGATGGACTGAGAGAGTGAACCGAACTTGTTTTTGAATCCGCGGCCATTTCACTGCCATATGGTGGTTTTGTGATGAAGAGCTTGATTATTATTCCGTTGTGCTGCCATTGTGGCAGGTGAGCTCCACTAGATGGGAAGGGGGTTGACTGTAAGGCTTCAAGCCACGCCGTGAGAGACGACCGGGAAGAGATAGGTTCTTAGCTTCGAGGTTGTTCAAGCGCACGTTAGTTTGTTGCATAAGTTGCATAAGCATTGCGAGTTGCTGGGTGATTTCTGTGAGTTGTGGGCTTAGTGTAGTCGGGGACAGGGTAGGTGGTTCTAACGGTTTCTAAGTAGAACGTTCTATCTTTTTTGCGTTTCTCGGGAGCGGATGGTAATTGTGTCGGTTGTCTGACTTCATTACGAAGGGCGCATAGTTCTTCTCTCAGTGCGGTAAGTTCAGCTTTAAGTGTTGTGTTCTCCTCTTGTAGACGTACATTCTGTGTCTGAACCTGTTTAAGCAAGTCATTGGGTAGGGAGGGGAACGAGCTTTACGAGAGTGCGTCTGCGCCCAGCTTACCTGCGTAGATTACTGAGTTTCTATTCGTGACTGAATGCTCGGCGTCCGTCCTCGGGTCTTCGAGTGGGACCGGGACCTCGAACTGCGGCGTCTCCTTTCCTGGAAAAAAGGTGGGTAGCTACGAGATCGGGACCGGGACTGGACGCTAAAAAATCTTGATGGGGGGTCCCCTCGCTGGACAGAGGGGGTTCTCGAGCTCCGCCTGCCGATCGGCGTCTTTTCTTTTCGGCGGTTGACGGGCGGCAGAAAGCGCTCAGGGCAGGCCTTGCTCGCTGTGCGATGTTCACCGCTGCACAGAGAGAATTTCAGTTTGCACTCGCTTCGCTCCACGGTAAGTAGGGCTTCGCAGTCCTTGTACGTCGGCACATCTGGCGGGTGAGGGCAGACGTCTGCGCGGTAGCCAGTTTAATGGCAGACGTGGCAGTAGGCGACGATGCGTCTGTAGAGAAAGCACCTCGTTTCCACTCCGCCTACGTATATTAGGAAAGAGACTTTCTTTCATAAGAAAGTGATGAGGATGGTGTCTAAGTCCCCGATTTGGCGGCACGTGAGTGGTTCCTATCCAAGGGCTGAGGTGGCCTCCAATAGTTCTTCGTTGGTGGCTTCCGTTTCTCTCGAGTGTATCACCCGTCTACACGAGTTGTCAGGGGAGATACCATATGACGTAGTTGCGGAGGTGGTTTTACCAATAGTTAACTTTTGAATCTTACTCAGCGCCGAGGCTGTAGATTGGAAAGGTGTGCTTGCTGCTAGACTGTTCTGCTGTTCGTTGACGCGTAATTTGATTTCTGCCTCTTTAGGACGTAGCTTAGCTTGTCGCATAATATTGTTTGAAAGTACCATAGGGCTTACCTTGCTCAGCCCGAGACCATTGCGAGGCCGGATTGCCAATTCGAAGTCATTAGCAGGAAGGGGTGGAGGTTAGGGCTCGAGCACCAGACGGCTGGGTCGAAGAGCCGGCATTGGCGGCAATAGGTTGAGAGTCGACGTGGCAAGGCTTGCTCGCGTGTTGCGGCGCATTGCCCGGCTGGTGACTTTAATCCAGGGTGCCATGTCGTGGCCTGCGTCATCGATGGCACTTGGAGGGTCTTGAAACATGCGCATGCCCTTTCCTTCCTCTTCAGCGTTGGTGGTGTGCCGCTGCTGGTTTCGATCAACGCTTGAGCAGGCTGCGGCGGACTCCATCACGAGCGATGTGGCCGCTGTAGTCGTGGCCTTCGCCTATGGCTTAGGTTTAGCGGGGCACCCCCGCTTCAAAACTTTAAGTGGCCAGAAAAATTAAAATTGTGCGCTTACGACCAAGAATTCTGAATCTGCGTGCTCCTGGCGGCTTTGGGCACGCGATGCAAACGTTGCTCAGTGTCTTGAAGTAAAAATTTCCGCAGGTATTGGTCCTTGTTCGCAGAACCAATGTAGCTTCCACTCAATAACTTCAACTTCTCTTCTTCTTTCTCGGCGACATACGAAGTATCAACGTCCTAGTCAAGGGCAGTCGTATCAACACGTAATGTTCAAAAAACGTAATCAAAGGCTACTGTGTAGATAGGCCTTATAGTTTCTATTTTGGCTCTGTATCTACATGCAGCAATGCAGACGTGCTAGAGAAGTTTTAATGTGTTCATCGGCAGCTGTTTTTATCTTAACATGCATCAGATAATGAGCGTCCGTGTACCAAATGTTGAAGTAAATAAATGAAAAACTAATTTCAAGCTCTTATTGAAATTAGCATCCTGAAGGGGTTTTACTGACACTGACACGTTCTTGTCAAGGTAAAAATAATAATTTGTGCTTAAACATTAAGTCAGATTTATTTGATTTAGGTCAGATCCCTCATTTGAATCGCTGTGTCTAGGAAGGGACCATGTCACAAGAGCGAATGGCATTTTAGCGAACAGCGACATTTGAGCGAATGGATGTTTTAGCGAATAACGGGGGCGCGCGTTAACCCATCCGTCGCGCCGCTGCGCTTTACGCCGCTTCGCCGGCGACAGTCTGCGGCAGCTCATTACAAAAATATGAACTCACTTGGCCCACCCGAAAACGCCGCTTCGCGGCGTCCGACTATTCGCTAAAGTGTCGTTCGCTGATACGTGGGCGTTCGCTAAAAAGTCATTCAAACAAGTGAGTGCCTCCCGTCTAGGAACAACATCGCTCGAGGAACGATGCAAACCCTATCCTTTGTTCAGATGTTCCTGACCGCTGCCCTTGCTACGACTTCGCCACCTTCGCCCGGAAATCTTCTGCACGACCCGCTCACAAGGGATGGCTCACGGATCGCCACGGAGCGTGTCTCGACAGGCCCACCAATGCTTTCACCGACCGCGCGGCTCACGCGGCCCGACCAGGACGCGTACATCTTCGACGCCTGGCAACACGCAAGGTCGGGGACATCACGTGACCCTTGCCTCCGCGGACAGCTACAAAAGCCCACCACGCGGGACGGCCAGTTGGGGCACGACATCGCTCGAGAAACGATGGAAACCCTATCCTTTGTTCAGGTGTTCCTGACCGCTGCCCTTGCTACGACTTCACCACCCTCGTCCGAAAATCTTCTGCACGACCCCCTGACACGGGATGACTCACGGATCGCCACGGAGCGTGTCTCGACAGGCGCACCAATGCTTTTACCGACCGCGCGGCTTACGCGGCCCAATCCGGACGCGTACATCTTCGACGCCTGGCAACACGCAAGCTCGGGGACATCACGTGACCCCTACCTCCGCGGACGACTACAAAAGCCCACCACGCGGGAGGGCCAGTTGGGGCACGACATCGCTCGAGAAACGATGCAAAAGCTATCCTTTGTTCAGGTTGGTCCCCTTTCTAATGCCGCCTGTTACCGTAGTAACAGTTTGTGTTTGATGGCGATGTCGTGCGCCTACGACCTGTTTGACGGTCGTAGGCATGTGATCGCGTTCCTTGTCAAGTGCATTCATGTTCGTTATTTGTCCCAATTACTACTGGAAATGTCGGGTGACGTCGAGACAAACCAAGGCCCAGCTGTGGTGGAGCAGTTGGGTAGTATTCTTGAAATTATCACCTGGATAGAAAAGAGCCAGATCGATGTGCTTGCCGAGCTTCGGCAGGTCAGAGCGCTCAAACGTCCACCGACGAAAATGTGAGTGCACTTTCCGATAGTGTGACAGCTCTCGAGGCCCAGTTTGCCGCAGCGAAGGCCTCTCTCGTGCGCGACGTTCTTGACCATGAGACCTCTGGCGGTAATGTGTCGGAACTTTACAAGGTGAATTCGGGATGCGACGACGCAGAGAATACTCTGTGGAGGTCAAATCTGCTGTTTTCTGGCATTCGGGACTTGCAGACCAAAACATGAATCCGGTCGGAGGTGAAGGTTATCCTGCTTTGTGCACAAAGCCTGGGCGTCCGAGATAAGCCCCGATAACCTTGAACGCTCCCACCGGCTCGGAAAGTTCCCGGCTAACCAAAAACGACCGATCATCGTGAGATTATTGCGCTTCAAGGACAAGCAGAACGTTTTCTTCTATGGAGGAAATCTAAAAAAAGGAACCTCTGTACGCGGTGCATGAGGACCTTTCGCTTTCGGTGCGCACGGCTCGCACTAAAATCTTTCATTATTGTAAATCACTGAACTCCATTTTCAAAATTCGCTTTGACAAACTGTATGTCAACGACAGGTCTTTCCAGTATGACTCTGCGGCCGACTCCGTCAAAGAGAATCCTAGATAGCAGTGAGGACCTCTTTCTGATCAGTCACCACCCGCCCGTCACTACGCGACGTATAAAGACTTCGAACCATACAGTCACGCTCACTAATATCCGTAGCCTCCTTCCCGAACGTGAGAAGCTCGATGGCTTTATTCAAGATAATAATTCTGACACTGTCATTGTTACAGAAACGTTGCTAAAGCCTGAGATAAGTGACAGCGAAATTTCTCCTCCTAACTTAATGTTTAGTTTTTACCAATGGTGATCTGTCCGCACAGAGAGGAGCTGGTGTGCTAATAGCGGTAGAAATATGCATTTCTTCCTCTCATATTACTACCAGATCCAATATCGAGGCTACTGTTGTTTATGTTACAAAAAACTATTATCGGTGTCTGCTACCGACTTATAGCGGCATGTTTTGCCACGAGCTTCATTCCCTGCTGCTTGAAATCAATGAGCGGTACCCAAAATTAAATGTGTCTGTCTTCGGCGACTTTCCCTTCCGTAACATAGATTGGCTTAGTCTAACAACTAGTGGGTCCAGTGAAGCCAGGGATTTTCTCGATCTATGCTTAAACCATAATCTCACCCAAGTCGTCAACAAACCTACACGTGAAGACAACATCCTTCGTCTTATTTTAACGACGTCCCCAGACCTGATGAACTTCCATTAGCCAAACGAAAGGTTTTAGCGACCACAATTTGCTGACCGTGTAGTTATCATTACCCTGCCTTTATAGAAACCCATCCTCAAATATTATCAAGGACTACTCCAAAGCCGATTTCGACGCAATAAACAGCAATCTTTCTGCATATCTATCGTTGTATATCGCCAGTTTTTACTCTAGAACCGTGGAACACAACTGGTTACTCTTTAAAAACAAGATAAAAAATCTCGTTGACCTGTTTGTACCCCTGTTCATATAGGGAGTGATGATTGGAACCTATGGGACAACAAAGCATTAAGGTCCCTCAACAATAAAAAAAGCGATTGTTTACAAGAGCAAGGCGTCTAGACTGCGACGCTGCCTGGATGCAGACTTTTTGTGCCTTAAGACCTACACTCGGAACCTTCGTCTGGCTAAGCATAAGTTCTTTTTTGAGGATATTTTAGTATCCTGCGTGACAAGCGTACAATATTCTGGAAGATAATATCCCCTAATATCGCTCCTCCTCTAACCAGCTAACCGATGAGAACGGGTCTTCAATATCTGAAACGGACTGTCCCAAAGTATTAAACAACTATTTTTCGTCTGTGTTTACATTAGGGCACGCTGACGTCCCTGTATCACCAGCTCAACCGTACGAGCCTATGAAACTTATTGACATCTCATGTGCTGGAATACCGAAGCCCCCTGAATCTCATGTGCTGGAATACCGAAACCCCCTGACAACTTGAAATTGACATCCTCTAGAGGACCTGACGACAACACCCCCAAAATTCTTCACTACACCAAAGCAATATCCAGCGAATTTCTTTACTTAATATTCTCAGAGTCTTATTGCAGAGATGCCTACCATTTGACTGGAAACTGAGTAAGGTCGTTCCGTCTTTAAAAATGGGGATCAAACTTCGGCGCCGAATTACCGCCCTATATCTCTAACCTGCGTAGCCTCAGAACTTCTAGATCACATTATCTACTCAAACGTTGTATCTCATATTGAGAGTAATAACTTCTTTTACAACACGCAACACGGTTTTCGTAAGAAACTGTCTTGTGAGACACAACTCGTAGAATTCACCCACGAGTTATGCACTAATTTTGAATCCAGCCACCAAACGTATGTCCTATTTTTCAACTTTTCGAAGGCTTTCGACCACGTTGCCCACTGTCGCCTGCTTGGCAAACTTTCATGCCTCGGAATTGACCCACTCATTCTCTCCTGGATCCAGGACTTCCTCTCCTCTCGCACTCAAATCACCACAATTAATAGTTCCTTATCCACTCGCGCTGAGGTTAGCTCGAAAGTTCCCCAGGGCTCGGTTCTTGGTCCCCTACTTTTTCTGATTTTTAATAATGACATTCCAGACAAAATTTCTCCTAACATCCGCCTTTTTGCTGACGACTGCGTCCTATATCGAAGGATAGTTTATTTTGAAGACCATCTTCTACTTCAAAGAGACCTCGAAGAAATCCAGGCATGGTGCAGGTGGATGATGGCACTAAAATCGAAATGCAAGTTAGTTCAGTTTTCACGAAAACGACAAGGATCTCAGTTCTCGTGCAAATGAGAAAATAGCGTAGTCGAAGACGTCCAGTCCTATATATACCTCGGTGTGACTCTAACGAACGATCTCACCTGGAACGCTCACATCGAGCTTATATGCGCTGAGGCGTCTCGCTGCCTCAGTTACATAAGACGAAACCTAAAATCGGCTCTGCCATTCGTGCGAAAATTGGCTTATGAGACATGCATTCGACCCAAATTGGAATATGCTGCGGCCCCATTTGGAGCCCTCAACAAATATACTTATTGAATCATCTCGAGGCAGTCCAGAACCGGGCTGCCAGGTTTATTTTGAAGAAATATGATTGGTAAGTTAGTGTATCCGCCCTTAAGAGCGAACTGAACCTTCCTTTACTAAACATCCACCGTAGAATAGCGCGACTCTGTCTCTTTCCCAAAAAATGCTACTGGCTCCCTGCGCTCCGAGACCCGCCCCTCCTACCCCCCAGGCGATCTTCATCGCGGCTAAATCGCCCGTGTCACGTTTCCCGCATCTAGGCAGCACAACCATTCTAACTCCTCCTCCTTCCTTCGTACTATTGTAGACTAGATCGACCTCCCCTCACTTATTGCAACCCAGACGGATCCCACCACATTTCGCAACAATCTTTGTTCTCATTTCTGTTAATCCCCACTGTGCCGTTCTTTTTTTTGTCTTGTGCTTGACTGGTTGCAATGTATCAGTGTTTTCATCCCCTTATGCTCCCCATGTACCCAGAATAATTTGTGTATTGCCGTTGTTCGTGGCGATGCCACGTTGTTTTTGCAGCACCCCATGAATTCGCATATGTCGTTTATGTAATGCGCTCAACGAGGGCCTTTAAAGGAACTTGAATAAATAAATAAATAAATTTTGTCCTCCTCTACCAACACTCCAGTCTCCACTTTGTTACCTCCACTGGTTGCCAACTATTGGCGGCGTATTGTTCCTCAACGGATGGATGGATGGATGGATGAATACGGCTGAGCCCTTTGGATCGGGCGGTAGCTTACGCCACCTAGCCATTTTGTTTTACCATTTAAGCTTAGAATATTTAAATGTGAAATCTATATTCACTCCGCAGTGCAAAGAACGCCCCAGAAGCCCAGCGCCACCGCTATGTCTGATTAACACGTAACATCCGGGTTTAAGTCTGTGCATTCTAGTAAAACATGCTCCGCTGGCTCGTCTGCTCCTTCCGCGCACATGACACGTGTCATGTGCGCGCAAGGAGCAGACGAGCCAGCGGAGCATGTTTTATCATATGCGCGCAAGGAGCAGACGAGCCAGCGGAGCATATTTTACTAGAATGCACAGACTTAAACCCGGATGTTACGTGTTAATCAGACGTAACGGTGGCGCTGGGCTTCTGGGGCGTTGAGGGTACCGCTCCAAACACCCGCAGGCCCATGGGGTTATGAAACCGTGTGAGTCTCACAGAAATTGTGTGGGTGTTCGGGTCCCTATGGGGTCCCCGCATAGTTTGCTTTGGTGTGCGGGTCCCCACAGAGTGTGTGCGGGGTCCCCATGGGTCCCCGTACAGTCTGTGTGGGTCTACGGGAGCTGTATGGGTCCTGCAGAGATCATATAGGAGCTGTGTAGGACCAAAGTCCTGTGGGAGCCGTGTTGGTAACCCATAGGGTTTCATAACCCCATGCTCTGTGGGCAATCTGTGTGGGAACCTGTGGGGGAATGCATGCTTGACACCGTATTTCACTGCAGACCATTGCCAACAACCGGCTGGTTCTATCCTTATTTACTGCTTGGCTCTTCATTTCTCTTGCTTTCGCCGGTCGTTCATTTTTTCTCCCAGTATGTGGTTCACTTTTGCTGTCGTCGACATTACAGCAATGACATCCGCACGGTGTTTTTGGCCACGGAGCTTCATCACTAGGCATTCTAAAAAATATGCAATGACGAAATATTTAAAGCAGCACAATTTGTAGACGTAAGGCTTAAACAAATGTTCATTAAAATCACGTGCCACATCACTTTCATGTTGGAATAGCCTTTAATAATGACGCACTTAGAAGATGCAATTGCGACATGCCCTATAAAATCAATATTTAAAAAGTTAATTAACAAATCTGGGTTAATTGGTCAACATATTGTGACGGTTATCCCCTTATCTATGTCCGCTGAGCCCCACAAATCTCGCCCCCTTTTTTAAAAAAATTACGTTCAAATTAAAACGGCCCATTCTGTATGATGCCGAACCCGATTCTATAAAACTATCCCTTGTATCAAACTTTTTGTGAACAGACTAGTAGCTGCTATAAAAATGCAGAGTGAAAAATGCGGTTACGTTGAACGAAAATTGCAGCGTCTCCCGATAGATAGTACTGCCCAGAGCGCCGTTTAGCTCCGCAAGCCTGCTTTCCCCCAACGTGCGAGAACCATTGGGGGAAAGCCAGCTTACAAAGAAAGCTTGCTTTTTTTTTTTCTTTTGGGCAACCGCGTCGACCGCCCGGAAGTGGGAAGAGGATGAGCCGGTGAGATCTTGAAAAACGAAGAAGCGGCCACTGAATAGCCACGTGGAGCGTCCCTTATGACGAACAGACGCTCCTTCGAGAGTAAACAACTTTTCTAAACATGTTGTGTTTGTTTGTTGTCAGATTCATTCTAACTTTCATGTAGAATTACCCGCTAATCGAACTGGTGGGCAGATTTTTTTGCACGTTCGACATAAATGGGTTTGACTCTATAGCAATTCGCAATCATCGCCATTTGAAAGATGTTTAAGTCCAGTTCCTGGTCTTGACAAGTATTGGGCTTATGAAAGATACCGTCACAACGTCAGCGTTTTCCACCATCAAAAACCCTAGAAAAAAGTGCTGGTTATACCCTTAATGTAATTTGTTTTACACTTATTAATGACTGCACGGGCTGCTAGCAAACGCCAAGCGGGCCGCATGTTTGAGGCACAACCATATGGTGCCCCTCTCCTACTAATGTTTGAGAAAGCCAAGATCAAACCAATAAAAAATAAGTACAATGCTGCTGCAGAATTCAGTTTAGAGAAAGTGATTAGGAGCGTTCAAACATCCTACCAGTAATTGAGAGTACTAATATACATCACATATTATAACCCTGCTTTTGTTTGCCACTGCATGACAAGTACTTTGAGCTACTGTAATTTTACACAATACCTACTGGGAGTTCACAATGTTCCATGGACACATTGAAGTGACCAGATAAATGGGCATATTGCGCTGATATATTACAAGGGAATGCCTGAAAGCGGTGGTTTCAGCATTTCAAAGATCGGGACATAAACTCCCTTGCGTCAAAAAGAAGAGGAAAGAAGAGAATTGTTGCAAATTGCAACAATTCTCTTCTCGAGAAGATAATTTCGCAGAGCCTTTTTTTTTTTTTTGTGAAGACATCAGATATTATTTAGGGCCACTGTGACATGTATTGCAACTGCAAATGATTGGAATAAAAAGGAAATGCCCTACACATTGCTTACTTTATATATCCAAAATAAAGGCCAGTGGTACAAAAAGAATCTGGTGTTGGCACGTAAAGTATAAAAAAATATTGCGTTTGTGTTTCACTGAGGTTACCTAATCTTCCCATAATTTTACTGAAAGCTTCCACCATTATGTCACAGCTGTGTGCTCAATCCTATCAGTTTTATGCGGTCCATCCAAAGACCACCGAAGCATTGTGTACTCCCAGTATAATATCAGCTATCTGCCAAGATGCTGCCTTGATTGAGAAGATTTTTCAAATAACTGCTTAGGTTACGTTTACGTGAGATAATTTGCACTCGCCTTTTAGGAATGCCGCTTTTTCGGCTGTCAGAGGCAGCCTGCTGTTCTTGTTAAGACTGACATTCAACGCCATTTCGGTCATAGTCCTCTGCAGAAGGACACTGGACCCCCACAGAGCAATGGCCATGTTCTTCACAGCAACGCTTGACCTTATGTCCTGGTTCACTATGGTGTCACCCCGGGCTTTCCAAGTCACCTTGACATCAACCGTCGTAGAAATGCATCTATAAAAATATTAGAATAGAAGGCGAAACCAATGTATTTGTTGGTGAGATCCTCTGTTCATAAAATGCTGCTTCGTGCATATTGATTAAAGTAAGTTTCGTTAGTTGAACCCCTTTTTTAGTCTAATCATTTTCAAACGTCCTAGAAAGCGCCTATACAACACTTCTACTCTGCTCGAGCTATCAAGTTCTTTTGCTACGTCCCCTGATTCTACCGCTGTTGAACTGCAGGGGTACTGGGTGGCAAGCCCTCTTGTAGCGTCGGCTGCTGGCGAAAATTATTTGGCCGGCTCAAAAAAACCTGACAGTGCGATCGCTGGCTGACCGTAGGCCTTGTGATTTCGCCCTTCCCTTTCCAGCCCTCTTTGCCTACTTAAATGGTGTTCCATGATTCCCCCCCCCCCTGAACTTTTCGGTCGGCGTAATGGATAGGGAACATGAGAAGATGCGCCCACTGATTTCAGTTGCCGGTGCAAGGCGCGCCACTTTTTTACCTGTGTGCGGGGCTATCATGCAACCTCGAGCGTGGCTGGGACTATAAAACTGACGCCTTAAAAAAAAAGAAGTCACTTTATGCGCCAAGATTGCTGAGTTTGATTCCCATGTACCTGGTGAACATAGGAAGAATAGACCATTTTCAAAACCTAAGCAAGCAATATTGACAGTCGCCACTTGTTGGACACAAAAGCTGTGATTGGATCGAAGTCCACCATGGAATGCTGACGTTGTACCTACGTCTATCCACGCCAATCACTGACACGCGCTAGTTTCCAACGCGTACTCGGGATCCGCGTTTAAGGAATGGCGGCCTTGGACATGCACACACTTCTGAAAAGGGTTTATTGCATGGGCCAAAGGTAATTAATGGGGAATATGATGCTTCAAGTCTTTCCGCCTAAAGCACTCAAAATGTTGAGTAGAATGTTAGAGATGCAGGTCTAAACTTTCTACAAAGAGATGTCGCCTTAGATATGTTTTTCAAGACGTTAAAACTTCGCTCTTACACCACTGCTGGTGTGATGCAACACCAAAATACAATAATTTTTGGCAATAGTGCTGAAAAAGAGATCTCATTTGAGCAACATTTATCGAGATCTACATTGTCAATGACAAATTGTCAAGGCCTTTTCATATTGAAGACATTGTGCAAGCATAGAAATGCCTTCTATCCAGAGGTATCTCTTATAAAGCAAAAAATTACCGAATCAACCTACCATGTCACATTCTTGGAAGTTTAGGAGCTGATATGGCTCCACCTCAGCGGGTGCTTTAGCAGCTGCCTCAGCAGATGCAGGTCCGACTGTACCAGCTGCTCCATCTAAGATTGCAGGTATTGCAGCCGCACCACCGAAGGCTGCGCCTGTGTGGAACACGCTCTGCATCACAGGAGCTGGTGCTGCTGCCACTTGTTCTGTGAAAAATATAAAAAAAATATATGACATGCGTCAAAACAGTGTGCAGCACTGCCACAAGATGTGTGTGGTGCTGCACTAAGAGCTGAGAGTGGGGTGGCAAGTATATACCGACTCAACCAACCACCCACCAGCTTGGAGCAATGCGGCTGCACTCCTGCCCCTGTGTATAAATGGAGAGCAGTGCCACATAACACAAGGCTGATTGCAGTTTGGTCCAGCCCGTACACAGCTTCTATGACACCGTCAGCCAAAAACTTAATAGGAATAGTAAAAGTCGTGGACGTGACCTTTAAGAAGCTGTAGCTTCTCAAAGAGAGTATGTCGAATGAATACCATGCTCCTGCAGTCAAGTATTCGTGGTTAGGAAATAGCACGGAATATTTTTCATAAATATCTACTGCAAAGCTTCGCAACTCAGGAGTGTTCTGAAGAGTTTTACAGATTATCGCTTCTTGACTACGGGGCTTGATAGACAGAGTAAAATGTTTTTGGACATATGTGAGGCAGAGCTGTACAAGAATCTATGCAAAAAGTCCGCAGTTCGTGGAGATCAGAGTTCGGAACAGGTGTGACAGAATTCGGGACGACAAATATGCCAATGTTATTATTTATTTTTGCAACATTAAAATGAGTCTGAAAATGCGACCAGCTATAGGGTGTATTCAAGAAAGTCTTGTGAGTGTTGAATTGTAGGTACAGCACCCTAGTTGTGTTTATGTGCGATATATGACAAAATATCATAGAGACCAATACTGGAAACGTCTCTGAAAACCAATGGGCACTGTGGCGAGGGACGTGAGAGGCACTGTTCACCACTCTTGCCGTTCGTTTGTGTTTGTGTGTTGCCACTAATGCCCGAGTCCCACTAGAGGAACAAACAGAAACAGACGACAGCGACAAGCCTCCAACACATGCGGTATCCTCGTGATGGTATACCTTTGGCAGGCGTTTATAGTCGTTCGGTACTCGTGAAGTGAGCACGGGTGATTGCAAGCCTGCCGAAGATACCCTCGGGTGCTTAACGCTCGTATCTCAGCGTAGCCTCCTTTATTCTATACACAAAGCCTGTCAAATCGCGACAGAGACTATGGTTTGAGGCTTGTCGCTGTCGTTTGTTTCTGTTTTGTCGCTCTAGTGGGACTAGGGGCTAACAAGCGCACCAATGGGAAGGCTTTAGCCATTATTGGGAACACTAAATAAACAAATACAAAATACAAATACAACACACACAGCAACACTGCATGCAAGTAGTGATGCACTTCTGTCGTCAACTCTGCATTCCGCTTACGAATGAAATGCGCAATTTCCCTAGAGGTTTTCATTCCAAGCGAGTGGCATCAGAATTGCTAAAGGCAAGCCCATGAACACAGTCTGTGTCAAAACAATCCTAGCAGCAATAAGTTGCTATTGTATTGTCCAATATATAGAGCACCTTACCATAAACAGCCTTGGCAGTCTCCCATGAAGCCTGGACTTCAGCAGAGGAGACTGTCATCCTGTGTCGTCCCAGGACACTCACATCGGGATGGTCAAAGTGAATGCCAACTTCTGCTTGGCAAGGCCTGCACTAAGTATAAAGATAAAAACACAGATTAGAATATACAATAAAAAATATTGTGGACCAACTTGAAAAAAGTGCACAAAAAGACAAGGACAAAAGGACAGGAACACAGAGAACACAGACAGGTGCACACTAGTAGCTCAATCCATTGAACACAAAATAAAAGAGCATCAGAAAAATCAGAAAGGCTGTGCTCGGAGAACTGAGCTTCAGGAACCGGGGCGCGAGGCAAAGATGTCAGGTAGATTGTTTTACATACACTCTAGAATTAACAACAGCCTTTCCATGTAGTGAAGTGGTGAGTTCATTCTAATTGAACATATTAAAAAATAGTACTGAAAGAAACAAGGAATAAAGGGGAGGAATACATACACTACATACAAGTGCAGACACCCAAGTCACATAAACTATAGCAGAAATAAAAACAAAGACTGCGGAAGGAGTTTTAGCAAAAGTTCAAACAGGTCCACGTGGAACATGCTAATTCACCCGTTGGCACAAGACTAAAAACACTTTCCTTGGTAGCAACAGACGTATGTGCGGACACATTGGTTGCCCATACTACGAATAATAAACGCCTAACATAATCCTCGTTTATGTCTTTCATAGTATATGCTAATTATTCACGTTTTTTCTAAGGATGACATACACGAGCAGTGTAAACAGTGCATAGATAGCTGGCAGTCCATCGTGAATTTTAGAGAGAGATTGAGCCGTTTTGATGTATTAGCCGTCGATCTGTTACCTTAAATGACGAGGAGATTATGGTTTTAAAATCTGCTCTTGCTAATGGGTGAATCAACGCGTTGCACTTGGGCCTCTGCTCGAGCTCCTTCCGCATTCTTTAATTCCTTCATCTCTGTTTATGCGAGTTGAGAGTCCGCGCTTGCATGTGGTCCATGCATACCTCGGCAAACCTCACTCATGAGGGCCCTCACTCACCCTCACTCACCTTCATCTTCACAGGTGAGGTGAGGGTGAGTGAGTTTCTGAACCAGGAATATTCATGAGTATGAGGGTGAATGATGGCTGTGAGGGCCGTGAGGGCTGTGAGGGCGGTGAGGGCCGTGAGTGCGTGGGGGCCGTGAGGGCGGTGAGGGGTATGAGGGCCATAAGTGCGTGAGGGGCGTGAGGGCGGGGAGTGGCGTGAGGGCCATGAGTGCGTGAGGGTTGTTAGGGCGGTGAGGGCCGTGAGTGCGTGAGGGCCGTGAGGGCGGTGAGGGGTATGAGGGCCATGAGTGCGTGAGGGGCGTGATGGCGGTGAGTGGCGTGAGGGCCATGAGTGCGTGAGGGGTGTGAGGGCGGTGAGGGGTGTGAGGGCCATGAGAGCGTGAGGGCAGTGAGTGGCATGAGATGCGTGAGGGCCGTGAGGGCGGTGAGTGCATGAGGGGTGTGAGGGCCATGAGTGCGGGAGGGGCGCGAGGGCGGTGAGTGCGTGAGGCCCCCTTCAGACGGAGCGTCTTTCTCAGCAATTTTGGTGTTGATGGTGGGTTGTTCCCTAGCTTTCCCTAGATCGACACGAATTGCTGAGGTCGCGTCTGGCTCGAAACAAGCGAGCAACTCGGAGCAATTTGAAGACGTTTGAAGCGGCTGCAGCCAATCAGGGACGCAATATTTTCACGTGATACCTCGTGCCGGAGATGATGACACCGAAAGACTTGGTTCTGGTTTGAAATTGATCGTTTCTGGAACTAAACTGTTTCAGAAAGGTACAGTCGGGAGCAAAAGTTTGCGGGGCGCGGGAGCGCGTGCCGAAATGCATCGCCGCGCCACCACATTAAAAAGCCGCGCTTTGCGCATGCGCGCCCTTCATGATGGCAGTCATGTCTCTTTCGCTCGTTTCTGTCCGACTCACTCCTGATAACCGTAATCGGTGCCAGGGGCGGAAGTTGCCGTTTCGCTGGCTGTCTTGCCCCGCGTCCTCTTCAGCTGACTCAGCAGCCGCGCTGGGTGACAAGGTGCCTCGCTACCCCCCCCTTCCCCCCCCCCCCTCATACACACACACGCGAGCTCCGTGACAAAGCGCGGTGGCTGAGACGGCTGAACCAGACGCGAAGCAGACAGCCAGCGAAGCGATAACTCACGCCCCTGGCGCCGACTCCTGCTATCAGGAGCGCGTCGAAAAGAAACCAGCGAAACATGATTGCTAGCACGAAAGGCGCGCATACGCAAACCGTGTCTCCTTAATGCGGCGGCGCGCCGTCGGACGGCGCGGCGATGCATTTCGGCACGCGCTCCCGTGCCCCGCAAACTTTTGCTCCCGACTGTACATTAGTATTCTCAACGAGATTTAAATGTGTCAGGCAGTGGTTCCGTACGGAGCCCAATGACACCACAAAGACGGCAATAATCACACCTTTCGGATTGTATGAGTTCGTCCGAATGCCGTTTGGACTCCGAAATGCTGCACAGACGCTTCAGCGCTTTATTGACCAACTCACACGGGGTTAGTTTTTAGAGCGCAGCTCTTAGGGGCCCGTTTCCGGCTTGAGCGGCGTCGGCGTCGCCGTCGCCGTCGGCGTAACCGCGCGGTGCATTATAGGTAAATTTTCCCGCTAAATCTAGCGGAAAAATTTTCCCCGCAGCGGAAAAATTTCCCCGCTAACTCTAGCGGGAAAAATTCCCCGCTAAATGTAGCGGAAAAATTTCCCCGCTAAATCTAGCGGAAAAATTTCTCCGCTAAATCTAGCGGAAAAATCTAGCGGGAAAAATTCCCCGCTACATCTAGCGGGAAAATTTCCCCGCTAAATCTAGCGGAAAATATTCCCCGCTAAATCTAGCCGAAAAATTTCCCCGCTAAATCTAGTGGAAAAATTTCCCCGCTAAATCTAGCGGAAAAATTTCCCGCTAGATTTAGCGGAAAAATTTCCCCGCTAAATCTAGCGGAAAAATTTTCCCCGCTAGGTTTAGCGGAAAAAATTCCCCGCTAAATCTAGCGGAAAAATTTCTCCGCTAAATTTAGCGGAAAAGTTTCTCCGCTAAATCTAGCGGGAAAAATGGCCCGCTAAATCTAGCGGAAAAATTTTTTCTGGGGGTCACGTGACCCCCCAAGGTCACATGACCCCCCCCCCCCCCCGCCCCGAGAACAGGTAACCCTCAGTACCCTTCCCTCCTCCTCCTCAAGAGCTGCGCTCCAATTCGGTGTTACAGGGAGTTGTAAACGGCTTTCATTTTTTTGCTTTGTGTACTTAGACGACCTTCTTGTAGCAAGCAAGACGCAAGAAGAACACATCGAGCATCTTCGCCTTCTCACACGCTTAACAGACAATGGTCTCATCATTAACCCTGCAAAATGCTTATTCGGCGTCTCCGAATTAACATTTTTGGGGCAACACCTTAGTAGTTCCGGAGTAAAACCACTGCCTGACAAGGTTGAGGCGATTGTCAATTTCCCGAGACCAACCACCATCAAACAGCTGCGAGAATTTCTCGGCCTGATCAACTTCTTTAGACGGTTCCTCCCTTAATGTGCCACAACAACCCAACCACTTGCCGATATCTTGTCTACAAAGCACAATCCGAAACAAGAGATAATTTGGACAGAGGACCGATCGCATGCATTTGAGAAAATCAAAACTGATCTATCCAATGCTACAATGCTCCACCACCCAGTGCCTAACGCCCCAACACGCATCATGACAGATGCGTCCGAGGAAGGGGTCGGAGCGGTCCTACAGCAACAGGTTGAGCAACACTGGCAACCTCTCTCGTTTTTCTAAAAAAAATTACGTTCAACCGAACAGAAATACAGCGCGTTTGGGCGAGAGCTCCTAGCTATTTACCTAGCCATCAAGCATTTTAGGTACTTTCTTGAGGGTCGCATTTTTCACATATTAACCGACGACAAACCACTGACTTTTGCTTTAACATCTGGTAGAGATGGTTATTCACCACGTGAAATTAGAGAAATGGCTTTCATCGTAGAATTTATGGCAGATGTGCGACACGTGAAGGGATCGAACAACCCAGCGACCGACGCTTTATCCCGTGTCAGTGTACAGTCCGCTGAGACAAACCTCTTGCATCACATCAATTTTCGTCGCCTCGCTGAATCACAAAAACACGATGAAGAACTTCGACATCTACGCTCTGGAAGTACAGCTCTTAAACTCCAACACGTCCGAATTCCTGGATGTAACGAAGTAGTTACCTCTGACGTCTCCACGGGCACGCCTCGGCCATTCCTAACTAACGAATTCCGTCGTCCTGTTTACGACTCACTGCATTCGCTGGCTCATCCAGATATTCGTGCAACTCAACGATTGGTCACATCGCGTTTTGTCTGGCCGAAAATGAACACCGACGTACGCGAATGGGCAAGAACGTGCCACAAGTGCCAGACAACTAAAATATAGAGACATACAATAGCTCCAGTCCCAAACCACCGGATGCCAGATTCTCCCATGTCCACATCGACATTGTTGGTCCCCTACCTCCATCACATGGATTTGTATATATTCTAACCTGTATAGACCGATTCACTCGTTGGCCTGGGGCAACGCCTTTAACAGACATAACTGCTGAATCAGTTGCTTCGGCTTTCGTAACATTGTGGGTGTCGCGTTTTGGTGTGCCAGTCACCGTAACAACCGACAGAGGCCGTCCGTTTGAGTCCCAACTGTTTGCTGAACTTCTACGCCTCTTCGGAGTATCCCGAATTCGCACGACCGCGTATCATCCCGCTGCCAACGGAATGGTCGAAAGATTCCATCGACACCTGAAGACATCACTCAAAGCGCGGATTAAATCAGGCAACTGGTTTGAGGCACTGCCTCCTGTTGTGCTTGGCCTTCGCACGGTCTACAAAGCTGACCTTACGGGAACACCCGCTGAATTCACTTACGGCACGACACTCCGCCTCCCCGGTGAGTTTTTTCACAACACTATAACCGATGCCGTTCCCGACGCACGAAATTACGTTGTCCGACTCAAACAAACCATGAGGGAGTTAGCTCCGCCACCGACCCGACCTCCACCTAACGACAAATACTTTTGTCAGTTCTGATTTGACAAAGTGCACAGACGTATTCGTTCAACGTGACGCAGTACGAAAACCCTTCGACGCGCCGTACGATGGCCCATACCCCGTCCTTCAACGTTACCCCAAGACCTTCCAAGTCGACTTCGGTGCAAGAAAAGATTTCGTGTCCATTAACCGACTCAAGCCCGCACATACTGCGCAACCAAACAGCTCCTCAACAAGACACCTCAAGTCTGCACTTCTGATTTGAAGTCCACTTAAGTGCAAGACATCCACTTTACGTCATGTGCGCTGCAAAAACCATGCCTTCGACATCTAGAAGGATATGAGGGGTAAGCCTTTACCCCTCATTTTATTTACATATATACATCTACCAAAGGCTACCGAGGGTCCACGGTGAATCGCTCGAAAAGGCTCTTCCACGAGCTGTCTCTCATCAAGCTTCTGCTTCTTCTTTTTCGGTGTCGGATGTTCCTACAAATGCATAAAAACAAGTTTATAACGCGTAATTGTGTCTAAATAGTGCAATAAAAATGAAATTTTATTATGATGATGGCAAATTGCAGCAATTGGTTGCTGCGTGTTATCGCGGGCGGCCCGTGTTGCTGATGTTGGGAAGTCAAGTTTCTGGGCGAAATTGCCCCATCTGAAGCTGGCCTGAGTGGCGCGAGGGCCATGAGTGCGTGAGGGGTGTGAGGGGCGTGAGGGCTTTGAGGGCCGCGAGGGCGGTGAGTGCGTGAGGGCCGTGAGGGCGGTGAGGGGCGTGAGGGCCATGACTGAGTGAGGGGCGTGAGGGCTGTGAGGGGCGTGAGGGCTATGAGTGCGTGAGGGCCGTGAGGGGCGTGAGGGCCATGAGTGAGTGAGGGGCGTGACGTCGGTGAGTGGCGTGAGGGGCGTGAGGGCGGTGAGGGGCGTGAGGGCCGTGAGGGCGGTGAGTGCGTGAGGGCCATGAGTGTGTGAGGACCATGAGGTTCAGTGAGGGTGAGTGAAGGGCTGAAGGTGAGTGTAACTGTGAGGACGAGGGTGAGTGAGGGGCTGAAGGTGAGTGTAACTGTGAGGACGAGGGTGAGTGAGGGGCTGAAGGTGAGTGTGGTTGTGAGGGTGAGGGTGAGTGAGGGCGACCTAAAATGCCGACCTCTGGGTCTATGTGTTACTCTCCTTGTCTCCTTGACTTTTTGTGAACTAATTTTCAAGGTGTTCAATTAGTCCCAGTTCACCACATTACTACCAAAATAATTACAACTTATACCATTCGCTAAAGGTAGTACCAAAGAAAAAAAAAACAGGGATTGGGTGAGGTATGAACACTATATACTTACGCTGAACAAAATATACCTCCCATAAATTGGCGCGACACAACCTAAATTAAGGACATGCTTGTAAACTACCCCAGAACCGGTGTCAAAAATTAAGTCGCGGGCAAACATGTTTGCGATCGGGAGTGGCATGCTATGCATTAATCACCGTGGGGTGAATTTACCGCGGCACCGATTTTTGGCAATTCTTTTCCGGTTATGATTCGCGAAAATGAAGTCGTTTGCGGACGACTGGGCGGCGGAAGCTACGGCCTGCTCGATCAATCAATCACTGACTATTGCCTGGCCCAGCTCTCAGGAGGCAAATACGCACACAGAATCCACCTGTAGAGCCAAACCTAGAGCTTCGGCGATGGAGGGGCACCGCGCTCTTCCAGACATTATAGTTTACCAGTAAAAAATACGGTGGAGGGATGCAATCAAACCACCCCTTTCTTTTTCCGCCTTCGCCTCCCCGCCCGCCCGCCCGCCCCCATGTCCCAAAAATTTCCGCCGCTACTGATGGACCTGGAGCGAGTACGCAGCCTAAGCGCTCATCTGTGACCGATGCGAGGATGGAGTACTCTGCATCGGGGAAAAGAAAAAGAAACACAACCTCGCATAACACCATTTGCGCACAATTAGTAATAATGGTAAAAGCAAGTGATAAAGTGACAATAGCAAGCATTTTGAAGGAAGGAAATAATAATCTAGCCCTAAAGAACAAAGAAAGGAACTTAATTTGGAAGGACCGTGCCACGATCTTGGCTGTTGAGCAGATTCGACGTACTTCCAGGGCTTACAGTCGGATCCTTCTTTTTCGGACACATTTGAAACTAAGGTGAACTCCACACATCATAACTAATCGGTAAATTTACTTTATGACGGAGATATGAAACACACACGGACAACACGGCCGGCAAAACGTGCAAAATAAGATTGCGGATTGGATTTGATTGCAATTGTTTGCTATTATGGATGCCTAGTGACTTTACGGAGGCTATGTTCGCGTATCTTCAACACGCTTGGAATAAAACGATCAGGAAAGTGCATTAAAACGATTAGGAAACACAGTAATAATAAAATATTGAGCTTGTAAACATTACCGCAATATTAGAAATACAATGCTGAACAGGTAGCAAAACCTTAAATACGAGACTAACAACACAATGTATACCAACGAACTCAGCAGATATATAACTTCTTAAAAAAATAACTCTAAACGTCTGGGCGTGTGGCCTTTCTTATTAACGCGCGGTGCTCCTGATCATATGGTCGGTGGCTCGAATCCTAGAAAAGTCAAGTTTTTTTTAAAGTTTTTATTACGTTTTTATTTGTTTTTATTGATTTAAATATTTGCTATGTTTTTTGCGGTCGACGGCTCCCTACTTTCGGGTAAAAATCACTCAAGGTGTGAAAATAGAAAGTGCGAGCCCAAGTTTGAATTGATGCAATGTACAAGCCGTCGCCCTCTGGTTTTTCCGGGATAATTCTCTCCCTCCGTGCTAAGAGGTGAGTCAGTGTAGTAGAAAAACAGGCAAGTCCTTTCAACGAAGTAAGGAAGGTAATAATAATGGGAATATTGAGAGCAAAATGGGAAAATGCGTAAGTGGTCAAACTGCCACAGTGATGCAGCCAAAGTTTGTCTGAGGGCGGTCATCTTTACCCACTATTGAAATGAAAATACCGCTATTTTATGGCGGTCATCTTTACCCACTATTGAAACGAAAATACCGCTGTTCTATGGCAGTCATTTACCTAAGCTCATAGCGCGCTACGTATTAAGCACACCTCTTAATTTTCTGACTACCGGAAAGTAGTACTTAATTTTGTTCTGGTACATCCTGGTTTTACTTATCGAGGTTGCACTCCGCAGTTTTACTTTTTTATTAGGCCTATACATGTTTTTATTTCGGACATCCAAGAGCAGTGCGGATAATTAAACTAGCTGTCAGAAACGGTATCGTTCGGTGTTATAACATTTGTTTCGTAGCGTCAAGGGGTCACATTCACAAACCCGGCAGTGTAAACATCCACAGCGCATAGGTGTTTCTCGTTTTTTCCTGCTAAAAAAAAGAGAAAGGTTTTTTATATTCCCGCCTTCTGGTGCGGTATGTCTATAACATAAGCTATGGGGGACAGATCGTTTGGCTGTGTGAACATTTGAAATATTTCTGTTAGATGATCCTAACTAAGACATTCGATTCCTGCCTTAATCAGCATATTTTCACACTCAATTAAAATCACCAATAGCATGATCTGGGGAGAGTTACGTACCTCTCGTGGCGTCGTAAGCAATAAACACAATTACTTTACTAGTTTCTGGAGAGTGATGTTTATTATTGTTTTTGAAGCTCAAAGCGATGCTCAATCCTGCCACGTGTTTTTTTTTTTTTTTTTCATTCGGAGGCTCCGCTACAGTGGCGTCACAAGGGGGGAGGGGGGAGGGTTCGGACCGCCCCGAGTACAGCGCTCAGGAGGGGGGGAGGTGTTGCGGCGGGCTACCACCTCGAGCGCCCCT